ACAATAACTAACTACATTGTATATTGACAAAATAAAAATAAAAAATAAAAATAAATAAAAATAAAATGGGCTACAAAGTTAAAAAAAAAAAGTAGTTCATAAATAACTAACTACATTGTATATTGACAAAATAAAAATAAAAAATAAAAAAAATAAAAAATAAAATGGGCTACAAAGTTAAAAAAAAAAAGTAGTTCATATTGTACTCTGTTATATAAAAGGAGTTATAAGTTACTTTTATGTACAAACTCATTAAACTGACATAAAAGATTACAACTAAAGAAAATTCCCAACCAAATAACATATGGCAAAGTAGTTGATTTCTGGTTGGTCCCAGTGCAATGGTGTTTGTAAGTAAATGATCACAACCAGTTACAGATTTTTGTGTTCCTTCTCCCTAGCCTTAAAAAAAAAAAATAGGTGATTTCTATAAAATCTATATATTTATCAATCAATTAATCATCAGCTATTCAGCATATAATTCTTGGTCTGAAATTTAATCTGGTAGTACCTAAAATAGACCTTTGAAATCCTTAAACTTTTCCCTCCAAAGTTCTGGCTAGATCTCAAAAATCAAACTTTTTTTGAATTTGGTTTTAAAAGAATCCTATAGGTTAATTCAAAGACAACCTAATTTTTATAACAAAATTAAATTATCTTTCCTCAATTTTTCACTGATTTATGCTGAATAGGTAAACCTTTGGTGCCATGATGTATCAGTGGTAGGAATTATTGAATAAGTTGTACTGGAACATTAATGTTTCAAGATTTAAAATACATTTGAGAATTAGGTAGAAATCACTAATTTAAAGATTTAGTTATACTAAACAACTTTATTATCACAAAGGCTAATATAAATGCAGAAGTTTCTTCTCTTCATGTACCTGAAAACAATAATGAGCTTATTACCAACCTTTATTTTTTTGATGAGATATAAACACATTAAGATTTATGTTTATAAGAATAGTATTTATTTCTATTTTCATCAATGCAAAAAATACTGTAATAAACTGGTATTTAAACATTACTAAAAAGTGAATGTTTTCTTCTGTATACTTCAAAGAAGACTTAACTTTTAAGGATTCAAATTAAAGCACTGGCAACCTTTACTGATTTAAGTTATAAGCCCATAAGATAAAATTAGTAACATAGTTTACAACTAAGCAAATGTGTGTCAGTTTACCTTTGGGGTTTTGCCATCTGTATCTGAATATATTTGGACTATTTCTTTTCCTTGTGCTTGGCTGTCTTCTGTTTGATCACTTTCTTTCTGGTCTCTTCTGTCTTCTGTAGGACTTATTTTCTCAGATGTTTCTACAATAACTGTTCCCAAATTTTGAGAGGTCTGTGTTTCAGAATCACTGCTTTTGGAGAAAAGCAGAGACAAAAATATCCAAGAATAGGAGTTGTTACGTGCACTTCTTTTAAGGTCAAGACCAAATACTATTATAGAACAGATTTACATATAGCTGTAAGTTTAATTTAGGCATTTAGTGGTTCTCAATTTAAAAAGAGAAAAATTAGTTTAAAAATATTTTACAAAATTATAGAATCTCAACAAGAAAATAGATTAGTCTATAGTATTTCTACCAAGCATTAACTCAGGAAACACATGCTTTAACATTTCCAGGGTTGGAACATATGCTATGTTCTGAGCCAAACCAGAAAGGTTTAATATTTCTAAAGAAAGTTTTTCCTTCGTCTGGGACAAAATTTGAATCTCTGAGGCTTTCACCCATTGATTCTAGTTCCATCCCTTATGTCTATTCATCATTCAGTAAAATACTTGTTAAGCACTAACTATGGGCAAGACACTTTCCTGGGCATGAAAGATAAAGCAGTAAGTGAATAAAGTAGAAAAACAATCTCTGCCCTCATGTAACCTTTATCTTAGTAAGGGTGGGAGGACAGAAAACAAGTAAGAAGAATAAGACCCAAGGGAGCTAATGGTGCAGAGGAAATCCAAAGGCAGCCCGATGAATTCCTCTACGCTCTTGGAGGCAGCATTTTGTTCTATGTAGGACTTCAACTGATTGAATGAGGACTATCTCCATTGTGACGGCAATGTGCTTTACCAAAAACTCACTGATTTAAATGTTAATCACATCCAAAACCATCCTCCAAGATGACAAATAAAATTAACTATCACAGGAGGCTACTGTCCCTGTAACACTCAACTTGGTTTCTTTTCACAGCAGCATCTCTTCAGTGTGGGGCTTGGTTTGGTAAGGAAGTTTTTGTCTTTTTGTATAGACAGTTCATAGGAGAAACCCTGTTTCAGAATGCCAGACATTATAATGGTTCCCTGACATTTACTTACAAACTAGATCCTATAGACTCTCCTCCTAGTTTCAGTTGCTACTCAGATTGGCCTGCTGCATTTCCTGGTGATTGTCTGTTTAGAGAATTCATATTTTTCTGTTTCCAGGCCATCAAACACCAATTTTCTCTCTCCTGATATCATGGGGATCTTGTAGCTGCTAGTGGTTGTCCCCACCTGTTCATGTCAACTAATTCTATTGTAGATATTATCCTTGACTTTTTGGTTATGCCCTCCAAGTCATTTATTTTGATGGGGGATTTGTGGGATAAATCTGTCACTGCTGCAGCAGCTTCCCAGCAGTACCAGCTTTTTAAATGGAAAAGAACTGTCAACAGAAAGGGCATGTGCTTAGGTGTCTATAATGTGTTTCTCGTTGCTCTTGTCAGAGGCTCCACATACCACCTCTGTCTGCTACAGACATATTCAGAATCTTTGCTTTGCTGAGCCATCCACTCAAGCTATCCTGTGCTCAGCATTGCCCGTTATCTATTGGGTTGTCTTTCAATATAACAATATATAGGTAACCTTTAAATATTCTGGATATTAGTCCTTTACCTTCTTTACATGCTGTAAATACGAGTACCTTCTTCAAGTTAGTCATCTGACTTTTAACTGTTTTTATATTGTCTTTTGTCATAGACGCTTAAAGTCTTGTTAATTTTTTTCATATGTGGCTCTGTATTTTCATGTCTTGCTTAAGTATGCTTCCTAGAGATCCTCCAAGATTATAAAAAAGTAATCTTGTAATTTCTCACAATACTTTTATAATTTTCACTCTGTCATGAAATCTCTAATCTATATGGACTGTATTAGGTAGTCAGACAGGCAATGAATATTGTTGAATGATTAAATAAATGAATTTATTCACTTCACAGTCTGTTATGCATTTCATCTTGTCCTCCATCAAAAACCTAACGAAATGAAAGAAACTCTGCTATTGTACTTTACCCTAAAATAGTGTGTCAAGAGATTAACTGTATACAAAATTCTATGAATCCAAATCTAGAGTAATCTATAAAAAAGGAATGAAAACCTAAACAGAATTATTATTTTGAGAAAGCATAGATACACCTATTTTTGACAAATTTATGGAGAACACTGCAGAACTAGGATTTCAAGGAGGGTCAAATGAACAAATAGGTCATTAAAAAAATAAAAGTATAAAATTTTCCAAGATTAAAAATCTTTGCAATCAAAAAACTAATGGTTCCATTAACTCCACTGAAGAACTCTGGGTAGAATTAAAATCATCTTGAGAAATAAATTGTTTTAGCTTACCCAAGTTTACATCTCTTTAAGAGATGTTCATGGGACATTCATTTACAGAATCTACAAATGGCAACATAATGTAGGCCTAAAAAGGACCTATACTGGCAATCTGTGGAAGGCAAATCTTTGTTATCTAAGACTGTCCAATTTCATTGTAACATTTTTAGAATCCTTGACCATCATTGAGAGTAAATGAATTAATGAAGAAAGAAATGCACACACTTCGCACACACAAATATCTTAGGCGTAGGGTGGGAGGAAGAGTTTGGAACTACAAATAAAATGATTCATTGTAATAACAGTAGCAAACACTTACATAGGACCTAACATATTTTAGGCTCTATTTTAATGTATTATCTAATTTATTTTTCACGTGTCTATGAATATGGTCCTATCACTGTGCCTATTTTATGGATGATGAAACTTGAGACACACATAGGTCAAATAACCCACCTATGTTCACACAGCTGGAGGATGTTAAAGTCAGGAATTGAACAAAGGCAGTGTGGCCACAGAGTCCATGTTCCTAACCCTCAAGATGCACTCTAAATAATGGTACAGTTGCATTAGGGCAGGGGAAAAAAATCCTTTCCTTTACTTACCTTATGTTCTCAGCTGGGACTCTGTAACAAAAGGCTGATTTAACAAGAGAAAAGACACAAATTTGCTTAATGTAAGTTTTACATAACACAGGAGTCTTCCTAAGGAAATAAAGACCTGAGTGTTTTTAATACTAGGTTTGATGAAGAGTGGAAACAGAATTTTGAATCAGGTCTGTATCTCACTTCCGTAATAACTTCGTATAGCATAGAAAGTCATGAAAAAATGTGATAGGACAAAAGGGTCTGGAGCTAAATGTAGTAAACTGGGGGACACTTAGCAAGGACTACTCATTCAGATTGTCTTAGAGTTCCTCTGTCTTTGAAGATAAGGATCCCTTTCCTCCAGTACCTACTTCAGCGGTGGTCAGAGAATTCTTCCAGCACCTGCCAATTCTCAAATTTCCTCAGCTATTATTTCCTGAGGTACCGAGTCCTAAACACTATCAGTTGGAATCATCTGTTTTTACAAAAAGTGGTGCTGCAAGTGAAAATACTGCTTTATAAGTGAAAACAAAAGAGAGATAGAAAGGGCTTTAGGACTTAGGTTGAAAACTTTAAAAGGATCAAAATGGCATGATATTCCTGAAGCAAAAAATTTTTTAAAAGGTCAAAGATCATTAGTGTCTTTTAAAGTAATTTTGAATGAAAATAAAATGCAGCAGTAAGAAGAGACACAAAGTTAGGACAAACACATAGACTCACGAACATTTATTGTGTGTTTGAGAAAAGTGACCAGGCAATTAAAAATGAATTTAATGATAAGAGAAAACAGAGGTAGAAATTATAATTGTAGGGATGGAAAAAAAGGACCTTCCCTCTACCTTTCTAAATTCTCAGCTGGGGCTCCTGTAACAAAAGACAGATTAACGAGAGAGAGAGAGGGAGAGAGAGAGAGAGGAGAGAGAGAAAAAAAAACTAGTTTATTAACAAGTTTATCACACTCATAACACATGGGAGTACCCTGAAGTGAGTATCTCAAAGAGACGGCTTAGAACTCCAACTTTTTTTTTTTTTTTTTTTAATTCCTTTTTGTCTTTTTTTACTGACCGGTAACAGGATCGCAACCCTCGGTGTCACGCCGCCGTACCGGGGACCGGCAACGGGATCGCAACCCTCGGTGTTGCGCCCGCACCGCGCTCAGCCAGTGAGCGGGAACCGGTCTCCACATGGGATCCGAACCCTCGGAGGGAGCGCGGCTGCGCTCCCAAGTGGTGCACTCTCCAGTGCGCCACCGGGCCGGCCCTTAGAACTCCAACTTTTAAAGCATCTTCAACAAAGAACAATAAATTTTTTAAGAAATGATAAGACAAAGGACCTTGAGTCCTAAGGAGCAACAAATCAAATATGGACAAGTATGTGGGAAACTAACGGTAGATAAAAGTTAGTTAGTAGAGTTTGTTATGTAGATTCCTCTGGTGCCATCCCCAGGCTCATCATGTGCTAAAGTTGTCTCAGGTCTTTACCTTTTGTCCTTTCTTGTAGAGGGGAGGAGGGAAACCTTTGTAAATATATGCACCACTTTTCGGAGAAGGGCAGAGAGCTTTTCTTGCATCTGCTTTTTCTCAGTTGCCTTCAGCTCAAAATAATCCTTATGCCAAAGTAGTACATTTTGGGGTGGCATATTCTGCTCCCCTTTATAATCTACTTAATAAATTCTTATTTCTGTGCTTTTCCCTACAAATTTCACTGTTCTCATTCTTTAATTTGCTAGGGACACTGAAATTGTATTTCTTCTTGAAGGTGTAAACAATTCCTCTTGGTTATCACCCATCACTGAATAGGCATGCTCTTATAAATACTATCCAACCATGGGAGATAAATATTAATAAGGTGATAATTATACAATATTGTATTTTATGTATAAGACTAAGTTCTATTTTTCTCAGTATTCAAGTAACTTTCTTATATTTCAGACTATGAAAAGCTAAAAGAAATAGAATTTTCTGAAGTCCCTGAAGTTCCACTGCAGGATTGCTAATTGTTTGAGAATTCTTTGCAGCCGAGTGATTCCTGAGACTGACTGTTCCTTCAGACAGGAAATGGAACTCTTATCACAGTGTAAAATTGAGTTTCACTGCTAAATAACTTAAACGACAATATTTTACGATATATTCTGTGATACATCTCCCAAAATATGTGACCTTGTGCATATGCACTAATATGATGAAATCAGAACCGAGTGTATTACCTAAATTTCATGTATTTATTCATACATTCATACATGCATATAAATGAACTGCACCACCATATTGTGAATACTATGGTAGTACCAAGTGGCTGAGATATAATTAGTAGCTGAAACTAGAATTTTCTTGAAGATTCAGATTAATTCTTAGTGGGTTTTAAGTTAAATAGGATTTTATCTCTAATTGCTTTTGAGAGCAGGGAAGAACCTGCAAAGTGGTAACAAGGAAATGGGAATGTAGATTTAGTCTTATAGCCTTATCTTCACAAATTTGGTTTTTCAGTTTCTTTATCTGCCTGAGGACAAGGGGTTTGACCTGATGATAACATAAAACAGTGATTCCCAAACTTGTCCGCACATTGGAATCAGCTGGGAAGCTTCAAAAAACACTGAAGTCTGTATCCCGCCCCCAAAATTATAATTTCATTGGCCTAGGGTGTGGCCTGAACTTCAGAATTTTTATAAGACCTCCAGGTGATTCTAGTATGCAAACAAGTTTGGAAACCAGGTTTTAAAATAATTTGCAGTTCTATGTCTGTGATTAAGAAAACTATCTAGAGGCATCCCAAATCTGAAACAGAACCACTACTGAAGATTTAAAAACAAAACAAAACAAAAAACCCAAAAAACCTAGGGAAAATAAAAGGATATATATGTCATTATAAAACCAGGTAGAATTTTAAAAATTATGGTAAATTGGACAATTTATTAGCAATTATGGCAACACTGAACTTTCCTATTGTCTAAGTACAATAAGAAGATGTTGTATCATTCATCTGCCTTTCTGATTTTACTGATGTGCTGCAACTGCGTATATGAATGTATAGCCAGGGGTAAGAGAAAGAAATATTATAGGTTTTTAGTATTCTCCTGTTGCTATCCACTAAGGGTTATATAACTTAAGACTAAGAATATGTAGAGCTATAACTTTAAAGAAGTAATTTTTAACCACCATTCAATTAAAGTTAGTACAATGACTTTGCATAATACATACATGAAATAATTAGTGAAGATGGTTCTTAATTTAAAGGATGTTAAACAGCTTGTAGACATCTGGTAACAAGCTGAAATGGGTCATTCAAAATTTATCTAACTAAATTAAAGGGGAAAAATGTTTCTCCTCCCAGGTTGGCATGTCACAAGATAACTAAACCGACTTAGTAGGCTTGCCTGGGAATCCTTAGCTGTCAGTGGTGAATATGCAAAGGGCCAGCAAATTAAATCAACCTGCCAAACTGTCAATTTCAAGCCTCATGACTGCATGAAAATAGCATCACTGGAAGAAATCAAGCATTGCCTTCTTTTGGGTTTCCTGGCACCTATTCAAATACTCATGCAGTTGTGGCTAATTTTGCATGCAAATTTCAGTCAATAAGCTCAGAACAAGACCTCCCAAGATATTTCAAAGGATCTGACAGTATTTTTTCTGAATACCAAATCAACAGTAGTTGAAATTCAATCTCCATTTGCCAGTGCTTTACATATGCACAGTGTCCCCACCACAGAGCTAAGTTAATGAGACCCTTACCTGCTTTCACTCACATCCTCCCAGCCGTCCTTGCTGAGGTTCTCAAACACACTGCTCATAACCTTGACGGAGTGATTGAGAACAGTGTGGTGACGACCCACAGAACACTTTTTCTTGGCAGCTTTAAATTTAACCTTGGTGGTGGTTGTCTTACAATCACATTGCCCAGATCTCACTTCCGTGGTGGCCATCTCAGCACTGTCTGCTGAATGGTGAGATTTCTCCACTGGTTTCATCAGCTCTTCACTTTCAGTTTTTGATGCCTTAGCTTCCGCCACTTGTCTCAGGGAAGTGACTTCCCTCTCCAGCTCACTGATTTTTACTTGAAGTTCAGTTTTGTCTTTTTCTACATCTTTACTCCCCTTTACTAGCTCTTCGAGCTCTTTTCCTCTGATCTCTGCATCTTCTTGCTGCTGTTTTAAGAGGGATTTCAGGAAATCATTTTCTCTCATTAATTTTTTATTCTCTTCTTTTAATTTTCTTGACCTTTTCTCAAAAGATTTTAGCCGATTTTCCAATTCAATGATCTAAACAGAAGAGTTTAATTTATAAATTAAATTAATTTCTTTTATAAATCCAAAACCATAATCTACTGTACTTTTATCATCACTCTAACTTATGAAAAAAAAATTACATTTGGCACAAGGACAAAATAAGCCTAAAGTACTTAATTTTTAAATAATTCTAAGGTGGTGTCTATGAATACATTCAAAAATGCAATAATACATCTGTTGAATAAAGGACAGATGGTAAAAGAGTTAAAATTCTACACAAAGTGCCATAGGATTAAGTATGTTAATAAATTGCAGAGTTTTCTGAGATCGTAAGTGCTTTGGATGTACACTCTATTCATCGTGGAAAAAATATTTTCAAAGAAAAACAATTTACACATAAAGCCAAAAATAGGTACAGAGAGAAACTGTATTAATAAATACCATTTCTCTTCAATATTCAACAATCATATAAAAAAGTGATGACTGAATACAAAATAATCTGAAACAATTTACACATAAAGCCAAAAATAGGTACAGAGAGAAACTGTATTAATAAATACCATTCCTCTTCAATATTCAACAATCATATAAAAAAGTGATGACTGAATACAAAATAATCTGTAGAGGCTGCTTTTTTCCTAATTTAGAAAAACATAATTTTAGTAGTTATGTGGTCCTTAGCTTATACACAAAAGGAACATTTTACCAAAAAATAAAGTCTAATCATTTCAAATTACAATGATTTCAAGGTTACAAAAAAATTTTTCCCATTTATTTCAATATACAATGTTCATGATGTAGGACATAGCAATGGTCACATATACTTCCTGGCAATAAGAAATTTCAAAATCTATTTGAAAAGACAGACAATTGCATACATAAGCTCAATAAAGGATATGGTCTGTGTGCCATCAAGGAAAGAGCAATTAATTCTAATTTATATAACAATTTCATGGAAGAGTTGATTTATATTTAGATACTGAAAAATAAATAACAAGCACTACTATTTGTAAAGTACATTTTTACTATTTACAAAATAGTTTCACAAACATGATCTCCTCTTCTGATCATCTCAAGAACATGAGGTAAGTAGAACCAATAATTATCTTTTCAGAATAGAAAAGAGAGATTCTGAAAAATTAAATTACACATAAGGGTAAACCTTTCCTGATTTGAACAGGAATTCAAATTCAGGATTTTCTGCCCCTTCCAGTATTCCACAAGACATATACAATGAAGTCACCAAGATATATATAGGGAAAATGAACAAAAAACTGGAGTCAAGAAAGAACTGGAGATAAGCAAGCAATCTAAATAACTGAAAAACAACACG